CCCACACCCACACCCACATCCACACCCACACCCACACCCACACCCACACCCACACCCACACCCACACCCACACCCACACCCACACCCACACCCACACCCACACCCACACCCACACCCACACCCACACCCATATCTACACTCACACCTACACCTACATTCATACGCACACCTACAATCACACGCACACCGACACCCACACCATACCATAATAATTGGAAAAAAGTGATTTTTTCAATTATTTTGATTTTTTTCGCTGAAAAATGCTTCTAGCTCGCAGGCACGAAACATTTTGATACTCAAAAACTTGAAGTAAGCAGTAGCAATATGCTTTTGTTTAGAGAAACTCTCAAAAACTGAAAATCATGTTCATTGGATGAATGGGAAAGAAAAAAGGGTGAAGTTAAGCGCCGAAATCATTCGTGAGTGATGTGATGCAGAGCGTTTGAAGGTTAGACAAAAAGAACAAGCCATCAAGTTTTTCATTAACGAGGAACCTGACCAAATGTATACCCATCAATCGAGCTCATACTGGGTTCAAAAGGATGTGGGTGTGATTTCCATCGGAAGATCTAGATCAGTGTTCATACCGACGAACATCCACATCGACCCCCACATCTGCACCCATACCTACACCCACACCTACAAACATATGCACACCCACACCCACACCCACACCCACACCGACGCCCACACCCACGCCGACACCCACACCTACACTCGCACCTACACGCGCACCCATATCTACAGTCACACGCACACCTACATCTACACCCATACGTACACCTACACCCACATCTACACCCATGCCTACACTCACGCTTACACCGACACCCACACCCTACCATAATAATTGGGAAAAAGTGATTTTTTCAATTATTTTGATTTTTCTGAAGGTTTTGATTGCACATATTTTTTGATTAAACTTTTTTTATTTCAAGTTGACAGAAAATTTTAATAAGCAAGTGTTTACCCTTGATTTTTTTTATCGAAAACGTCAGTTTAATCAAACAGGCTGACTTCAGCTGTGTCTCTCTGGATCAAAAGCATATTGGTTCACTTTTTATGTATGATAAAAAAGTTTTGACACTAACTTGGATATGGTGGCCTGTGGACATATCGATGTGTATTTTCTTGCTATAGCGACACTAAATACCAAGGAAGAAAAATATTTATAGACGAAGAACACAGCGGAAAAAGCGAACACATGCAACAGTGAGACCATCCCTACGAAATCAACTGCCTAAAAAACTGTCATGCTCCATTAATGCACTTAAATAGTGTTAGAACTTCTCCTTCATTCATTTATTATTATTACTTCTTCTTTCCGAAAAACAAGGACAAAAAAAAAGCACGAAAGAATGTGTCTCTCTCCCTTCTTACTCATCCATTGTTCTCTTTGTTTCCATAATATGATAGAAGGATAAAGAGAGCCTTCTTATGTTAGGAGAGACATCTCCTGACATAGCATCTCCCCGACCCAAAAGAAAGGTCGGAGAGAGAGAGAGAGAGAGGTGTGTTACAAATACATTTGAACGAATCTCCAGAAGCAAATTCGTATAAACAAACATGGACAGCATTCTTAATAGTAGCAGATCCTTTGAAAGAATACTATAAAAGCATGGGTCTGAGGAAAAACAGTAAATTTGCAAATAGACTCTATAAACGAGCAAGCCATACATGTCTGGAATATCTTTCATTTATTAATGCACACAAAAGATTATTTTGTCATTTCAAAAATACTTTATTCCTTCTTGAATACTTTATTCTAAAATATTTTCCTATTTCTACATCATAAACTTTATATGTCGTGAAAAAAAACTGTAAATTTATCATTTGTTAACCCTTATGGGAACAATAAAATAAATATTAAAAAAAAAGAAGAAAAGCGTGTTACAAATGATGAAGTAGAGAAGAGAGGAAAAAACAAATAACGACAGTGAAAGTATTGCGTATAATACTGATACGCGAGGTACATATAAAGGTTTATAACTAAAAAAAGAAAGAAAAAATGTACGATCATAGAAAGAAGAAATACTGAGCGATGTGTAGATTTTTTTTTGAACGAGAAAGAATTAATGTGCGAATGTTTCTGATGATTGACGAAGAACGAATTAAGATACAATTGCAGCAGTTGGAGCTTGTGATAACATAGTTTGTTCACGAGAGCTTTGATACATTGAAGAGGTGAATGAGCATAAGGTGGCTGATAAGGTGGTAAAGAGCTGGGAGGTAAAACTGTAACAAAATATTGTTGTTCGGTGTTATGAGGTAAAGTGGTGATTGGACGGCAATATTTGTAGGCGTAAACTAAAAAAAATGACGATAATATTGACAACCAGCTGTAGAAACAGGGCATAATGTGCCCAATTAGTAGTATCGAAACTTTTGCTTTGTGTCAGCAGGTGTTTAATTTCATTGTGATTATTATCGTACTTTGTTTCAAAGGACACTGTTATTAGACAATTCAATAGCGGCATAGTAGACAGAAAGGTGATGAACACGCACAGTATAAAGAATACACCCATAACAATTAACTAAATATTTCAGAATAAGATGAAATGATGATGAAATGAACAGTAGATTAGCATGAAACAAAAATGTTCGAAAAGAAATAACTTGATAGTAGATGGAATGAAATCTAGATATAAACATATGATAATGTAAATGCGAATAGGAACGTGCAGATATTATAAAGTTCGATGATAGGTGTTGTTTGAATAGCAAAGATTGCGAGGGTTAAGATGATCAACGCGAATAAACACGGCGAATATTTTTCGAATGCACTTGAAACTGTTGATGATTTGAGTCTTCGACAAGGAAAGACACCGGAGAAAGAACGCGAATAATTTTTGCTGGATCAGTATAGCGAGCATCAAGTTTAGTTCGTCCTCTGAATATTTTCATCCAAACGAGATCATTTACTTTAAAAGTTGGATACGATCGATTCCTACCAAAACAAGTTTTGGCTAATTGTTGCTGATGGATAATGTTAGCTCGCGCTTGTTGCAAGACAAGACGTCGATATTTCATGGCTTGCATCCAATAATCATGAGGTTTACTAAATATGAAGGTATATTTTGGAGGATCGAATGGGTTGTGTGGTGGATGCCCAAATGCAAGCTCATAAGGAGAAAATCTTCTAGGACAGTGTACACCATGATTATATGCATAAATAATAGATGGTAAGTAAGTGTCCCAATTATTATAATCATCATTGGAGAATTTAGCCACTTGTGTTACAAATGTTGAGTTCCAGCGTTCAGTTTGTCCATTTGTTTGAGGATGATATGGTGTTGAGAATATATGTGTGCAGTCGATTAGATTAGAAAGAGCGTGTAATAATTAATTATTGAAATGTGTTCATTGATTAGTAATGAGTATGTTGGGGGAGGGGGGGATCATGAACGAGAACAATTTCTTCCATTACAATGCGTGCCGTTGCTTGTGCAGAATTCGTGGATGATGCTTTAGCAAAAAAAATAACCAGATAGTCGGTCAATTATCACAAAAACATATTTATTTCTATTAAATGATGTTGTGATAGGTCCCCACCAATCCATACCTAATACTTGAAAAACTTCATCACGTGGTTGAACAGATTGTAAAAATCCAGGAGGCTCATAGCGATTAACATTAACTGCAGAACATTTATCACAGGATTGTATATAATTCACAATTGTTTCCTTCATATGTGGCCAATAGTACCTGTTTCGTAACATGTACCAGGCATGTGTAACACCAAAACGACCACTCAAATGATGGTCATGATGAGCTGCAAGTAGTTCAGAAATTACTGTTGATGGTACATAGATTGCTCGAATGTGAGTGCTACCACTATTAACTAATTTATAAAGTATATTATCTTTGATAATAAGTGATCTATGAATTTGTTTGTTTCGTACTTGTTAAAATTTTGCTTTAATAACCGGATCTTGTTCTTGTGCGGAACAAATATGTGACAAACTAAAACATATAATTGATTATTTGATGTAGAAGAAGATGACAATGAAGGTTGAACAACAGCAGGTGTTGTTGAAGTTGTCATTGGAGACGGAATTGGTTGATTGAGAAGTTTAGCTTGTGCTCTAGTAGTAACAGCATGAAGTTATAACTTAGTAGTAGTGCTATTAATAACATCAGATGTTGAAGCAGGTAATTAACTAAAGTGTTCACGTTGTTTTTTGAGTATATTATCTGACCAACTTTCCGAATCTGATGGTCAATCATCATTTAGTTGGATGGTAGTAGATGAAGTTGTAGGGATCAGTTTTGGAGAAATATAAACCAACTAATCTATAACTGAACGAATTAATAGGGTTAATGATTAGCGAGCACCTGTTTATTTGTCATTATATTAACTGCTAACCAAGTCTAGAGATATATATCAAAACAATGCAGAAATTCGAGTTTTTATATTTATTTCAAAATATATGAAAACATTAATTATAATTGTAGTTTTTTATCCATTTCTGGTTTTAGATGCCTGTGTAACACTGTGATCTCCAGCAGCGATTGCCAGAAGATAGATTGCATCGGGAAACTTATTGGAAAACACCTTTAATTCATATTTGTTTGCCCAAACCAATGAAATGAGTTTTATCTCATACTCAGCCAAAAGAGTGCTGTCACTTTCGTCACGAAATTCCCTTTTTCCAAAACCTTTAGAGAATCCTATCACCAGGCGTTGTCCATTCCATTCAATTATATATTTTCCACCCAACTTCTCGTGAATTGTTCCTTTTATCCATTGATTGGAACGAGGATCGAGAATGGAAATTGTTCCTTTATAGAGAAACAATTTAAGATTCTTGTTTAATTTAGCGACAACTTGTTTCGATGGATAAGCAATAAGTTCCACGCTCTGCATAAAAGTAAGTCGAGACTCAATACGATACTGAAGTTGTTTTTCCGTGTAATCAAAAATCGAAAATTCGCCAGCCTTAATTGGATTTAACAAGTCTTTTTGAATAATATAAGTTCGAACTGCAATTTGTGGATTGACAAAAGCAAATATAGCAGTCAGCAGTAGTAAAACGAACGCAAACCAACGAATCGACACCATACTGTAATCACTTTGTAAATCAATCTATGTTTATGTAAGTGTTTGAAGAAACCAAAACGAAAGCAATTTATATTCCAGTTCTTCTATTATTAATATTCTTTACAAATCCAAATTGCTTATTCATCGCCAAGGATGCTTGTGTCAATATCAATAATTTAGGTTAGAGGCAAATGAAAAAAAAAGCTACAGGAATGAAAGAGCAGACACTGTATGTATATATTTCATTGTATGATTGAATGGAGAATCTTCAACTTGAAGAAGATAAATGAGATTGAAGTGAAAGTAATCAAAATATTCTTTTGCTCTACGCGAAAATGCAAAATGTCATCGTAATCTAATATCAGAACAATGAAAATTTATTGAAACAAAAATAGCAATTAATTAGAATAATTTTTCAAATTAGTACATTTCATTTTCCAAAAAACAAAGCAACAAGGCTAAAGTTCTCTGATTATATTATATTCTAAATGTATGGAGTAAAAGCTACATAAGATTAATCTTCACGCTTTCATAAGTCTACTATTGATGTATGAATTAGTAGTAGAATTTGTAGTGAATTTTTCTACCAAAACAGAAGACTCTTATTTGCTTATTTCACCAAAAAACATTTAAAGCAACTTCTGAAAGCTGATTTTACTACTTGCCTATAGCGACAGGACTTATACTCTTCTCCGAGTTGCATGCTCCAAAGCCCATTTCACGTTGAGTCAGAATAGGGTGTGTTATGTATCTATATTATTCCCTGTCAATAGTCATTTAGAAGATACGTTCACCAAGATCATGAACAACAAATAAAGCATTACAATCACAGACAATTTCAAGAAAATAAAAGAGAAAATCATGCTTATTTTGTTTATGCTGGTATCAAGTTTTCATGTTCTTAAGGCCCTCTGCCCCACTCAAAAAAAGTCAATTTTCGTCAGAAATTCCGAAATTAAGATAAATGCATAGGAAGATAGCCCATCTTCAGATGTTTCAGAAATGATATGATTTTTTATCCAACAACTCTTTTGTTTTTGGCAAAAAATTTTGATGATTTCTGTAATCAGCTGCTTGAAAAACACGATTTTTCCTGGAAAAAAACGGATTTTGAGGTTTTTGCATGGAAAATAAGCATTTTAATGGAATGTAGAGACGTTTTAACAAGTTTTATGAATTGTTATAGAAAAATCAAAGTTCATACAGCGAAAAATGAGAAATCGACTAACTGATAGACAAGAAAAAATCTTTGTTTAAAAAAACTAAGATGTAACAAAGATCACAACAAAAATTGTTTAATGAACTGTTACTTATTCTTCTTATTTCCACCTTCTTTTGTCTTTTGGATTATAATAACCGTATTCGTCATCACTAGTGTCATCATTTTTTTCAAGATCTTCATTTGTTCTTGCATCAGGATTAAGAATTGTTTCCTCATCGGGCATATGATTTGTTCCATCATCACTATCATTTGATGAATCATTACTACTGGATGTTGAATCATTATCACCAGTCATAGGTTCATCACTATCAGTTGTTGTATCATTATCTTGAGATGTTGGTTGATCACTAGGATTTGTTTCATGATAATCATCATTTCTTTGTTCATCACTATCGATTGTTTCATCGTTATCATCACCCAGTGCATTATTACTATAATTTGTTTGACCATTTTTATCTAAAACACGACCAGCTTCTTTTCTTCTTTTCCTATTATTTTCTTTTGATTCTGTATGAAGACGATTGTTGTCAAAGTGAATCATTGCTTGGTCGGTATAATAGCCATGATAACCAGATATGTTGTTGAAAAGATTTCCTGTGCAAAATTAAAACAAATTTTCATTTTATAAATGTCAAGCATTTCAATTATAATTAAAAAACGCTTGTGAAAATATTTGTATCGTCTTACCTAATGCAAAATATCCATCATTAGATATTATTATTGCAAGATGACATGCAATTTCAAATGTTGTTCCAGATGATGCCTTGTGTTTTAGTGACATAAGCCAGACAAGCGAATGAAAACCCTCGTTTGGATTCTGACTTGACGCATCAACTACACGTGCCAGATTTTCTCGAGAACATAGGTTGTCAAAAACAGGTTTGATTGCATCAAGAACAGGACGAGGTAAAGCGTGTGGTTTATGATCATATGGTGTTCCATCACGAGCAGCTTTTAAATAACCACACCAATCGATGCTGCAAGAATCATGACAAGGATCATCATTGGTCGCATATTTATGCCAAAATATAGGCCATGATCGTTTAAATAACAAACCCAGATCGTGTTTGCATTTTCGGATGGTTGAAGCAAATACCATTTGCAATCGGATGATATTTTGACCTAACATAAATAAAACATTCAGGTTTTCGGTTTGTTTCGTTTTCAAATTTTTTCCTGTCTTAGAAAGACTTACTTGACAGACGATTTTTACCACCAATAGTTTTACCATCAGATCATTTTTTTCGACCATATTTACGTTTTTTTTGTTTCAAGCCCGCGTTTCATTCTTTTACTGAAACAGTTCAAGTCTTCGATTTTCTTGATCGTTTTTCCTAAAAAGACAAAACTGTTGTTGGTGCTTCCATATTAAACGTGATAATGTTTTCAAATAAAATAAATTTTATTATACCTGGCTATGGTATTGTTTTAGAAAGAAGAGAAAATGTTTTTGAATCACCATCACCGACATACTTTGTGTAGTAAACTCCATATTCAGAAACTGATTGTTTGAACATGTTCAGAACAGCATCAGCTTCTATTGTGTCGAAATTTTTCTCGTAGTTTTTTTCACATTGATGTGATCTAATAACATCATTATATTTAGCTGAATTAGATTTCTTAATAGCAAGTGCACCTGAAAAACGAGAATATAATCAAGAAAACAAGAAAAAAATGAAACTTACCCATGCAAACATTACATGTTTCAATATCAAGTACTTTTGGTGTTGTGTTACAAGAAATGACAGCTGCTGCACCATGTCTACTTTGAAAACCTCGGGTCTGTCAAAATCCGTCTCCACTAGCCATTAATTCTGTACCATTTGCAGCAGTCACAGCTTCTTCAACACCTTTTTCATTGACCGATTTGAAAATGATTTCACTGAAAGTAATAAATTTTTATCCCATTTGGAATTTTTTTGATCTTGAATTGGACTTGGTAAATTCATAGCACCCATTAATTTGACTAATCCAGCATATCTAATACCACATAAATGGCCACCTATTTGTGATCGAACGTTAATATCTAGACGATTTGATGCAACAACCTTCGGACTTGTTTCTAAAAAAAATTAGAAAGAAATGTTGCAGTATTTTAATAATATGCAGACGATTTCGATAGTTGAAAGTAGTTACTTACCAATGGTGATGGTATTTGTACATGAAGAACATTGAAAAGATAAGATCAAAAATAAATCTTCACGTTTGTTAATGTCCATTGTTCCACTCCAACGATTTCCACAGCCTTCACAATTCGTCTTGCACATAAGAGAAAATAATACTTGATTTTGCAAAGTCGTGCATCCATCCATAGACACATTTGAAGTTGAATTTGATGATGTTGATGTTATATCCAATTTTGTTCTTTTCGTAATCTTCTGTTGTGATGGTAGAGACAAACGTTTTAAAGATGTGGATGAATTTGATATTGTTGTTTGTAATGATGATGTTGATATTGCTCGTATATTTTGACGATTATGTCTTGTTATCAAACGTCTGCTACATCTAATAGAAAGTTTTTATTATTATAAAAAAAAAGGAATTTCATATTGGGTTGTATTTATCTTCTTACATAAACCAGAAAAAAAATTCAGTAGTTTTAAGTGTAGAATAATTCTACTGACTAGTAGGATGAGAAATAGAAGTTTGATCAGAAACACTCACCGTTTTATTTGTCTCTTGTAAGACATATTATATGAGATCAGAATGTTTAGTATAAAACCGTAATAATAAGATAACTATGGGCGTGCTCAACCATAGGGTACCCCGATTCTTATTTGCTTATGTAGCTTCATTTAAATATCAAGAAAATGTGATTTTTTTACTAGTTATAGTACACATATGATGCTAAAGATGTATTATTGTTTGAGCTCTATATCTTACTGAAAACATGGATTAACAAATGTTTCTTTATAGACGTTTTGCTAAAGTACTTCACATCTAATATCTTAACGTACAGCGGTTTTCAGCAGTTATCGTTTTGTGGAGACATGTGAGGGAGATATTCTTTTTCCTTTCCCCTTTTTTCTCTAAAGTTTATCTTGTTCTCGGTATATATTTCGTGCATAACAGCATTTCATTCATTCTACTGTATCTTGTGTTCTAGTCGCATTATTCGTGTTCGAACTCAGGTTGTTTTTTTTCTCGCTTTTGTTCGTTCTGCCTTTTCTTGAACACATTTTCAGTCAAATACAAACACTCACACTTTGTATTATGTTCTCTCCACAAGTTGAATGGGGTTGTTCTCAACGTCAATCTGCCACGACTGATCGTCGGAAATATTGTACTAACTGTTGTTCTATGTTAACTTGGACATGTATTGGTTCGGAAAGATCTGGATTATACACACACTTTTTTCGGCATCGTGATAAGTGTATTCATTGTACGTCAGAAACCGAAGACAAACCACAGGAAGTAGAAGAGAAGCATATTGCGATTCAACAGCTTCAAATCTTGAATAACGGTGAGTGAAACTTAACCACTTTGTTTAGACGTGTTTTCCCCATTTCATTATTTTTATCTCATAATTCTAGGCAAATGATGATCGGTAATATATTTCCTTTTATTTGCATTTTGTAGAACAACGTCCGTGGTCTGAATGGGGTCGTACTAATGAATCTTGTGTAAAACATACAGGACGTGATATTGAACAAGTACAGCAGTTATATTCGATGTGTGGACAATCACTTATAAAATATTGCTTGCATAGAACCAAGCAACAATCAGACAACGTCAACACAACATCTTTATCTCCTATGAATTTACTTGTAGTGACGTTGTGGTACTTGAAGCATTATCACTCGGAACGCTATATTGCTACCGAAGTATATTTGAGTCCATCTACAGTACATCATATTTTAACGGAGGTTGTGGACATCTTACATTCATGTGTATATCCAGAACTAGTTTCATTACCAGCCAATATGGATAGTAGAAATGCAATACATGAACTTGAAGAACATCATAAATTAATAGTTGATTCAACTTCTATTGCTGTTCCTCAACCTGATGATTCACAACAACGTAAAGCTTATTTTTATTCGAAAAGTGCAACAAATTATGCATTTAAAATACAAATAGCTTGTGACTTTAATCATCGAATAGTGCATGTTTCCGAATGTTATCATGGAAGTGTACACGATATTACAATTCTAAGAGAGTCAGGACTATTAGAACACGTGAACGACTCTGTGCAAATTATTGCTGATAAAGCATATATTGGAGAAGAATATGTCATCACTGTAAAGAAGAAACCTCATAGAGACGAATTAACAACTGAAGAAAAAAACGTTAACCATGACATCAATAGTGCAAGAGCAGCTATCGAAAATATCAATCAACGTATCAAAACTTATGCTATTCTTGGTAGTGTTTACAGAGGAGCTATTGATGATTTTGATAAAATTACCAAGATCTCACAGGTTGTTTGTGCTTTATGTAATCTAAACTTAATTAAACATTCTATTCGCAAATAGAGAACATGAGAAATTAGCTACCTTTTTGATCAACTATTTGATAATAAAGCTTTATTGGTGTACTTTAAGTTATTTTAATTTTCTACATAAGAGCTGATGTACGCTAAGAGATTAGATGTGAAGTACTTTAGCAAAACGTCTATAAAGAAACATTTGTTAATCCATGTTTTCAGTAAGATATAGAGCTCAAACAATAATACATCTTTAGCATCATATGTGTACTATAACTAGTAAAAAAATCACATTTTCTTGATATTTAAATGAAGCTACATAAGCAAATAAGAATCGGGGTACCCTATGGTTGAGCACGCCCCTATATAATCTAAACAAATATAAAATGTAAAGGTAAAGTGTGGATTTAATGTTTTTTTTGAAAGCACACTAATTGAACCATAAACACATAGATAGATATATAGAGAGAAAGAAACGCAGCACGCATCTTTGTATATGTTTGGACGAAAGCTCGACATCAGAGAAAATGAAAGAAACAGAGAAGAGAAGAACAAAACAAAGAAAAACAAAAACATCGAAAATGATATCATGCAGTGTGATCAACAAATATTATGCCAATTCACCATTTGTTACGTTATGTTTGTCCTTCCTTTATCTCTTTCTGGTGTCTATATATACATCATAATTACGGCTTTAGTTTTCATAACGGCGCGAAATGCTTGTAATGAATATAATTTTCAATAAAAAAAGATTTGAGGCAACTTACGGTTGATTTTAGTGGAACATTTTAGAGTAAGTCTACTATGTCTATGTCGTGGAAAATAAAACCACTTATTTAATGAAGTTCAACGAGTCACAAAAGCAGTAGTGTCAAACCGAAAATTTGAACTCAATTATTGAAAATCTACTTCAACTATTCATCAATTATTGAACAGTTCAAGTTTAACTATTCAATTATTACTATTTCCCGCGCTCACACCTGGTCGCGTGATGTGTTTGTGTAAAGATATGTATGTCATCTTCCTTCGACTTCCCTTCTCCGCACCCACACCTGGTGAAAAGTGAATAATTGAAATTCAACTATTCAATAATTGAATTCAATTTTCAGGTTTGACATGTATGAATCGCTCGTGCCGTTTCATCCTTGCTTCAAGTTTTTAGACAATCTATATGCAATTTGTTTTCACATCTGTAGATGAAAAAACTACATTTGCAGGGATTAAAATAATTTATGCATTTTTGTTCCATTATCGGACATGAGTCTAGTTTAAATACGTTGATCTCACCTTCACTCAGTGCTTTGCGCGCAAAATATATTTTGTATTCTTAGAGTAAACTGATATCCATTATTATTTCATAGTTTTTAAAGTCATCTGTAAAGTATTTGGTGAAGGCATTATTTACAAGATATGATCAAGTACTAAATGATGCATATTTTACATTTGACGTGTTTTTTATGTATGCTAGGAATGACTGAATATCGCCAAGATTTGAGGAATCAATCCCGTTTTTAGAATTGGTAAGGAAAAGGGTGTGGCATGGGTGTGAATCTTGTCTCCAGCAACACCCACGCTCATACCGACATACACATCCACACTTCGCACCCGCACCCGCACTCCACACCCACATCCACACCCTTTTTCCTTCCATAAGAAAGACGTTGAGCAAATCTTAAGAGAAAAAAAACAATCGGCATTTTTGTCAATATGACAAAGACTTTCAGGAGAGATTCATCGGTACTGCCTCTGATAATGGTTTTATCATAAGATAGGATGTTGCTCAGATGAAAAACAGTGTACGAGAACCAAATTCAATTATTCACAATAAGCGATCGTCCTTTTTACTTGATTTCGATTGATTCTTGGAATTTCACAAAGACAATAAAATTGGAAGAGAAACAGGATGGATAATAGAGTGGCTTTGCATTTCATCGTGTTGGTATCAATATTTTCCCGTGATGATACCTATGCAGATCAGTCGATAAAGATCTGCTCAGCATCTTTTACGACCCAAGTGCGCATTCTACAATCGATATTTGAAAGAAGCGCATCGATCAATACATCAAGCGTGTGTCGAACAATTGTTCAATTGATAATCCGATGCCTTTCTTTGGTATGATCATTGATCAAATAATTAAGATGGAATGTAACATAGACGTTTTCTTGACATGGTGAACAGGGCCGCATGTAACTTTCGATCTAGAATTGAACAACTTTTAAGCTTGCATATTTCTCAGTGTTCACAAGAAACTTTTCTTTCGAAGTGATGAAGCTTTCGCAATCCATCTCGAGCTGTATTGTCGTTCAGCGAGGTGGACAAAAATTCCTGAAGAATTGTCTAAAATTCTGTTGAGTTCAGAGTAGAAGTCTTGAATATTCTCGTCTCACAAGAATTCTTGATCATTATTCTCTAACTAAAGGAGAACAGTAGGCTCCAATCAGGAAATAATATAAACAGTCAATCAATTCTATGCATATACGTCAGTTTCGAATTAAGTTGAGTGGGAGACATTAGAGTCTTTCACAATACTTTTGACCTCGAATCACATCGCCACGTGGATAACAACACCGGATCCATTTCATGAAAGTTTGAATGACGGCGAACATGCGTGTGCCTAACTGGACAGATGTGCGTTTGTGTCGCCAAGATAGATGTTACATGTCATTGCTTGAATTCGGCCTCTCTCTCTCTCTCTCTATCTATTTTAATCAGTTCACAGCTCTAACACATCACCAGTTCCGTTCAACCGCCAAACAATTTACACTAGTTAACCATCAAATCTCAAAATGTAACAAGGTCATTTACGAACAAAATTATCTATGTAACAGTGTCCGGCATGGGTCAATTTTTCGTGACCCGACCCAGCACAAGATCTGACCGGACTCGAGTCTGACACTACTATATGACACCTACTTTTCAGCCACTTGGTAACGCTCTGGTTTAGTGTAATTAATGCAAGAGTATTTTTCTATCGATATGTATCTGACGAATGATTTCAAATGAAGTCTCTTTATTGGATATAACCGATTTCATAGGAGTAAATACAATCACGTTTATTTTTCATGTCAATTTGCAATATGCACAGTATCTAAAAGCAAATATTGCAACACAACAAAAACTATTAAGGTAAACAAAATAAAAGAAACGATTTCTAGTTTACCGTGAATAAGATCATGACAGATTCATGTTCATCATATTTCCTTGCATAAGAAAATCCGTTACATCGTCACGTACGACCTTGCTCGACCAGTAAAAGAATATCATCAACGATGTCGTTCCTATGGAAATGTACGTCATGCTCAGAAGATACGCAAATTCTGGCGGTGTACCTCTTACATTCCAAAGAACGATAAGCAGAAGCGGTACGCCTGCAAAGAGCATTACTGCTATTTGAATAAAAATGTTCCGCAAAAGTATTTTTTTTCTTGCTGACCGTTGCCACTGTTTCTTGTGTTCGATCTTTGAGCGGTAGTCGGCAAATACCCATGGGTTGACCAAATTTACAAACATGGTTTAGAATGTATAAATATAGGGACAGAATAATGTGGAGTGGAATAACAAAACCTATAAGCACACCATAGAGCGATGTATTAACATGTTTTGGACTCGCAAGACACAAACGAGACTCAGCTTCGTAAATGTAACCATCGAAAAACCAAGGTTCGATACATAACACAGCGCTGATAGTCCAGTTCACAACGATTAAGCTTGCATGAACATGAAAAGTGTATAAGAATCTCTGTTGATAGAAAACGACAAAGAAGAATCGACTGATGATTTGAATAGAATACGAGTAGCAAATGGTCGTTGCAAAAAATGTTAACAAATACCCGCGAAAGACACATGCAACTTCTGATCGTCAATTTTCATTGAAGGCACAAATCGAACTTCAAATAAGATGTAACGAATACAACATAATGCTCAAACAGGTATTGCATGCTAGGAAAAAATGCTTCAGGAAACATCTTCTGCTTCGAGTTCAATACAAATAGGAAAAGATGGAGAAAACATTGTATGACTCGCATGAATTCATCTGTTTCATCGCATAATCACTGCAACTAAAATACAGCTATTAATAGTATCATAACGTGAGATTTTAATTAGAGCATATCTAAATGAGATTCGGGACCAATCGGCCATCCAGATGAACATTCTCTCCATTGAATTTGTACCTTCAATGTGACTGTTCAATAGTGAAGTTTTTCCTCTTTTGATCTATGCAAGGCGAACTTTCTACTTTTTTACCGTTTAGAAACTGGATACATTTGTTTCATAGTTCCGATGTCAACCAACTGCTCCTGGTCGTCAACCAGATCAACGCGCGTCAACAAATGAACACTCAATCACAGTAAATCCATCGTAAAGTTTGATTTTGAACTGGGCGCGCTACATTTTTCGTTGTGTAGCATCACAATGTGAATACATGAAAACCTTCAACTTAAGGTGTCCCACACACCTTCGAGCATTTGTGAAGGATTAATTGGCGAAAAATTCAGTGTAAATAGAATCTTATGAGTAAAGCAAAAGTTGCACTAGATTTCAAATTCTCGAATGTTTTCTTCTATGAGATATTTTGACTGATATGACGAGAAATGAAGCCACGATGATGTAGCAGTTGTGTCAGAATAAATTGCACAAAATCATGTTTCTTTTTTTCTCTCGCCACATATTATAAATGCCTTTTCCGCTGGAAAATTGGCTGTATAAACTTAGGATTTACAAATATTTATAAGACAGTCTATTTCGAACTCTTCAATATATCTATTGGACACATTCTCTGTCCGAAAGTCGTTTGACACCTAAAGAGATACTCTCTTTAGAACAAAGGAGATTACAATCACCTCGGTTCGACATGTGCACCTTCGTGGCGACTGAACTCAACAGAAGTCATTGGAGATCAAACGAGCATCATCTGCAGAAAAATAAGTGCTCTGCATTGTCTTAATCGTTTGATGAGGATTCAAGAAAAGAGACTATGAAGAGAACACATAAAAGTCCTTGCTTTTATAGGCAACTGTTCTGCCTGACGATCCTATCTTGTCGTTACA